AAAGATTCCGTTTTTGCCATTTTGGCTACGGAACCCTAAAAATTATGAATGAAATGAAATTTAAAAACGTAAACGTATTCAAAACTTATCATAGAACAAGCATAAACCAAAATCTTTTTTTTTTAATTTGAGTGATCCCTTATAATATAAAAAATCTAATTTATATAAAAATAAAAATACACAGAGATTTGATAAAATGACATAGGTACTTACTAATCACAATTCGAATATATACGAGTAGTAAACTTAGTAAAAGTTTTGAATTTAAAAAAAAGAATATACTTACGTGCAAACACAAAATAACATTCACTAAACTCTTTTATCTTAGTCAAATTCTCTTCGTAAAATGGTTTTCTGTCAAAACAAGTCTTTTTCAAGATAAGCTTTACTTAATTATTATTTTTATATTAACTCTAGCAATCCCAATTTAAAAAAAAAACGTTTTTATTGAATCCAGTGTTCTTATTTTAAACCGCGACTAACCCGTTGTCTCAATATACAAAGACAAATGATATGCCAGCTGACATAGAGCGCTTCCACAGATATAATATAGCCAGCTATAAGTTGACAGACCCCTGCCTCATTACAGCTCATGCAGTATGTAGTGGTTAAGTAAAGTTGGTTGTACATTGGACTCAAAATTAATGGTATTTTAATGATTGTAATTTTAGTATTTATTTCTAGGTTTATGTTATTAAAATTGTTATAATGATGATCTAATAATCGTAATTATATTATGGCAAAAATTTTTATTTACCTACTCGTTTTTTTTTTTGGTCATAAGCAAAAAATGTTATTTACCTACTCGTTTTTTTTTGGTCATAAGCCTTTTTATTTTTATGTATAATCGGTAGTAAACTGATGGTAATTGATTACCTTCGACAATGGACACATTCAACTAAGTCTTTTCAGTTTTGAGTCGAGTTTGAGTCTCCAATTAGCCCCAAATCCCTCCTGGTTCGGGGCTCTTATAACCTCATTCACTCGGTGGAAATCAACGAAAAAATTGCTTATGGGTGGTATCACTCCGGTCTAGCCAAAGCATGGCTTTCCTATTGTATTGTCGCAATGATGAGATCACAGTATTTCCAACAATACCGTGATACACAGCAATACGAAATGCTGAACTAAAAAATGAATTAAATTATAATTATAACACTATGGTTACAATGCGCCTAAGATCATGATTAATTGTAACTTAATTTTAAATCCTCAAGGGTTGTGTTATTTCTTAAAATATGTATGTGCCTAATGGAAATGGCCCTCCTAAATAAGAATAAACAAAAATAATATTTCGGACATAATATTTCAGACATCTGACACACAACGCCATCTAGTTTCAAACTAAGCAGAACTTGTACTATGAAAGCTAGAGTGACTTATAGAATACTTATATACTTTTTCTTTGTAATTTCTTAACACCCAAACTTGTAAACAAATCTTTGCAGGTCATACAAACATTCGATCAGACCCGGGAATCGAACCCGAAACCTCAGCACAGCAGTCGCATATGCTACCACTGCACCACCGGGTAACAACAAACATAAAAATACAAGTTAATTAAGAACCTTCTCCTTTCTGATGAAGTATATCCTGTCTACATCTAGGATGTACAATTCAATTTGCGCTCGAATGGCAATTGAAACAAATTGCTGGCGGAGATTTAGAAGAATCAACTACTTATTTCCCTTATAGTATATCTAGATCTACTACAGTTATTTATTAGAACAGAAGTTAAAATATATTGGATACACAGGTTATGATACGTAAATAAATCAAACCTCATAAGAGTTAAGAATACTATATAATATATGCTTATGATATGATTATATGATTAGAAAGGTGGTTTATATGGTTGTTTATACACGTATTACGGTATAGGGTTTGTTTCAAGTTTTTCTTCTCTCTGTCTAAGGAGAGGCCGATGTCCAACAGTGGATTAAAAGCTGTTGATATATAACAATATAAATGTAAGCAATGATTTCCTCTCTGAATATAATATTTATCAATATTACTTCGAAACCGAAGTTTTTGGACTTACCAACGTAATGATGATCCTACTTTGGATACACAGCAATCTTTACTTATTTTTTTACACGTGATTGTGTTGTTATTCAGCATAAAATGACTGCACGGATGGCGTAGTGGTTTAAGCACCTCGCCGCTTCCTACTGCGCTGGGAAATGGAACAACATTTTGTGTGATTTACAAATTGTTGTTCTGAGTCTGGGTGTTCTTTGTGTCCGTTTAATGTATGTTTGTAAAGTCCCCCGCGACACAGGATATATTCCTAGTGCGGGAGTTGTCTTTAAAAAAAATAAAAATATTCTCTGGAAATAGTACACCACCGTCTTTATAAACGGTAGCAAGAAACGTTTAATTTTGTATATTTAATGAGGTGAAATTACTAGTTGTTTCAACTATATATTATTATTATCTTTGAAGGGCGTCTACTTGAAACGGCTGGGTAATTCTGTAACCTTGTTAAATTTGAAATTATAACTAATTTCTGGTTTTATTTCACTAAATGCTGAAGTCAGCATTTAGTGAAATAAAAATAATTTTGTAAAAGTATTTAAATTCAAAATGCAAATGCTTACCTATTTTATTATTTCAAATAAAATACAAAATGGTTATAAATATAATTATTTTAATACAAAATGCAAAATACGTATCAAAATACTCTTTTCAAATAAAATACCTTACCTCACTGATTTTAACACTAGTAGGTATTTTTCTAAGAGTTCAACTTTCATGTTCTGTCTAAGGGGTGGTCAGACATTATAATCATTCCAACAAACGAAAATAGTCCTTCCACAGGCGCAGAACTTGGTAAGCAGGTATTATATTTAAGGAAGGGTTTTTTTACATTTCATTATCACTCCATCTGGCCTGTGGGCATCCTACAGGTGCGGTGGAGTGATTATTTGCGGCGGTCCACTCCACTCAAGAACTCGTTTACCCCAACGGCTGTCGGCTCTGCGGCTTATATGGCGAGCCCACTGCCACTTAAGCTTGCTGATCCGGTGGGCCTTTTCGATGACTTTGGTTTTCTGTCGGATCACCTCATTGCTGATGCAATCCCTTAAAGAAACACCGAGCATAGCACGCTGAGCGACTTTGAACTTGTGGACCATCCGTACTGCAAGTGTCCACGTTTCAGCTCCGTACGTCATGACGCTACCCGTCACGTCACGCAACACACGCATTGAAGACTTTCGTCTCAAGGGACTGTGGGATCGACGAAGTGAAGGCTCGACGTAGTTTCCCTAACGTCCTTCGTTGCCATTGTGAATAATTTTGGGTAGATAACGTCTCACTCCTCGATGAAATGGTATAGGCCTTGTTTGCTGATTCTGTACTTGGACGGATATAGTGGCGGCTTCATAGAGACATTTCATCTTCTACTTCGCAACGCTGCAGGGACTTCAGAACAGACCAGATCTAGATCGAGTCAAAGACCTTCTCGTAGTCCACGAATGGGCTACAAGAAGGCCGACCGGAGAACCCAGCTTGCTCCGGTGGTTGGAATTCGTCAAGTCTTCGCGCAAGATGGTTCGTCATGACTCTCGAAAACAGATTGTAGACGTGACTTAGAAGGGATATAGGTCGATAGTTATTCAACATGGTCTTGTCACCCTTAGAACAAGACGACCACACTCCTACTCCACGCCTCCAGAGTCCTCCCTTCAAACGGGACAGCGTTGAAGAGCTTTTGGAGCTCCCCCAATACGGGTTTACCTCCACTCTTAAGCAGCTCTGTTGTAACACCATCCTCTCCAGGGGCATTTCCATTTTTCAGCAGTCCAATTAATTTATCATTTCACATAAATTAAAGCCTATTTTTCTTAAGTCAAACAACATTAAAAATATATATATATATATATTTGAATTTGGAATCTGAAATTCTAATAGACTTGGAACTAGATGACGTTGTGTGAATGTGGTACAATATTATTATTATTACATCATACATACTTAGTATAAAATAAAGTAGTTTTTTGTGTTGTATGCTCAGATGGTTTAAACTAAGCAACAAATTTGAATATAGTTTTAGTCACCAATAGAAAGAAGAATTGAAGAGGAAGGCATATTACAGTAGAGATAATCCGAGAATTTCAAAGATTTGTCGTAAAAAACATGCATTTGTGCGCTTACATTGCAAACGCTGGCTAAACCTTACGAGTTAGACCAAAATAAATTACTACGGAATAATATATATCTTAAAAAGATCTACAAAACATTTTGCGATGGTAAATGTCTATCCCCTAACCATTTTTATCATTAAATATTACAAAAAAAAAACAGTTAGTTACGAATCTATTTTAAACAACACATTTTTATTCCTTACCCAAGTAAATACGTTAGATACGTTATGCATTTAATGTAGATTAAAATTGCTCTTTCCAACATTTCATTAAAAAGAATAATTTAGAAGATAGTGGAGGTTTAAAATGCGGGGGCCCAACGACTGTCGAGCCATGCGTCCGTCCCAGGTGGCAGCGGCCGGCAGGATCGAAGTGGGCCTAAAAGATTGCATTTAAAGACGTCCTGTAGTATAGTCCTGTCATAGTAGTAGTATAATTAATTACTCTACATTGACACCACATTAGTAGTATTAGTAGTATCTACATTGCACCCGTGCGAAGGCGGGGCTGATCGCTAGTATTAACTATAAAATAATCATAACATAAGAACATAATGAAGCAATCTTGCTATCGTATTTACTATATTGTTAATTAATTAAGACAGTACCTAGTTAGTACTTGGTTTCCTTTACCTAATTTTATTTTAAACTCATCATAACAAGATTTAAGTTACATCTGTACACTATCCATGAGAGGCAAGTCTGTAATATCCTGGCAATCAACGATCGATCGAGTTGCTCTCCGTTAAAAGCAGATCAGAAGGATCTGAATTTTAACAGATTTATCGTATTCCAACTTAGTCTTCGTAACATGTAGTATTTTTCCCATCATCGATAAGAAATAGCTTACTTGTCATTCTCTATCCATTGTAAGTACCATATCTTGTAATTTCTTTTTATTAATCTTTAAATTGCTGGTAATGGGGAATTCTTTAAAGAATACAACGCCGCCTCTAAGCTGTTTCGAGTCCGACAGTGATTCTACAAAAGAAATAAAAACAGATTAGTGCTTTGGGAATAAAAAAATGTTGGAATTAAAAAAAAAGCTGATAAGCACGGTAATTTGTTCTGTGTAATCTATCTATAATATGTATGTATTTATATATATATATATATAAATATGTTTATCAGCAGTCTGATACCCATAGCACAGGCTCTGCCTAGTTTGGGATCAGACGGCTGTCTGTGAGATGTGTGAGGTATTATTATTATTTAATTAAAAACTGATTTATTTATAACTAAACTAGGTTATTACTTTAAGTTTACCATTAAGCAGATTCAACTACGAGCAAAAACTATTTCTTTGTGTGTAATGGTAAATGTCGAATACTAAATATGTAAATATCACGATAATATTTTTAAGGAATGACAGTTTATACTTTGATCGAATAGCGTCGGTCCTGGTCTAGAGAAGGAAAACTTGACACAAACCCTATACCAACCCGTCTGGTCATCGTGGTATAGTAGGCCAAAACCTCCTTTCTAAGGAGAGGCCTATGTCCAGCAGTGGACTGTTAAAGGCTGTTGATGATGATGATGGTCTAGAGTAGACAATATAGCACCTTAATCAGTACTAGGTATACGAAGTTATTGTTTAAGTCCCTATTTACAAGCTAGCGTCTCTTTAGTGACGGATTTAAAATGCGGAGTGTCACCACCCCTATTCATGCCATGGGTGTCGTAAGAGCCAACTAAGGGAGTAAACTACGCGGAACAATGGCATTGGCATCGTGGCCAGAGTGGATTCGTGGCCAAAATCTCTTTTCTAAGGAGAGGCCTATTAAAGGCTGTTGATGATTACAAGGCTAGAATTATAGTATGAGGAAGTATACCTTTCACAATGTCCTTGATCTCTTGAGCTGAAGGTTTGCTACCAGGTTTCGGTATGACACAAGCCACTACAAGATCCCCACAATTCTCGTCCGGTATTCCAGTAACAAAGACATGCAACACACCGGGGTGTTTCTTAATCACAGCCTCTACCTCTGATGGTGATATCTACATTGTGACATTTACAAATTAGTTAATGTCATATGTAGGAATAAATTTTGGTTTAATTTACATAATCACTGATTTATTTAGTGTTCCATGTGGTAACGGATTAAGAATATAAAGTGTCACCACCCCTATTGATCCTGTGGGTGTCGTAAGACTAAAGGAGCAAACTACACAGGAAAACTGTTACACCACTGCAAAGAGAAGGAAACTTGTAACAAACCCTTGACCACAAACACATATTCTGCACTTTATTTATAGACGATTTGCAAATATGAACAAAAAATATTCAGTGGTTTAGAAACGGGTAATTTTTTGTTGTTGTTTTCGTAATTTGCCACATCATGTGGAGATAATAAGAATTTAAAGTTCGCTGTCGCTACGCGTCGCTTTATTGTCGCCAATATTGCGACGCTTTGGTCTACAGTTCAGCGACTCATGTTAACAATGGTGTTCAAATTCGGCAATTATTTTATTGTATTTATTTTGATCTTTGATTGATGATTGATTATTAATGTAAAATTGAGTTTGTTTGTTTGTTACGCTTTCAAGCCTAAGCCACAAAACAGATTTAAAAAATTACACGTACCACATATATACAAAAGAGCAAAAGCTAGTTGATAATAATATAAATGCAAAAGTTACTTAGTTTGTCTGTTACGTTTTTACAGCTAAATTCCTGAACCGATTTTAATGGAATTTGGCATGGTGACACTTTGATTCTTGAGGAAGGCCATAAGCTACTTTTTACCGCAATAACCGATATCCACGAGGGCAAAAGTGATACAATAAATAAACGTCTTAGAAATGGACTCACCTGATAGCTCTTATATTTCAATAAAGACTTTATTCGGTCTACGAAGTAAAAATGCCAATAATCATCTCTGTACAATATATCTCCGGTCATGAACCAGCCGTCTTCAGTTAACGTATTTGCTGTCATTTCAGGGTCTTTGTAGTAGCCCTGAAATGATTACGTCATATGTGTTAATGTTAGTCACAGTCACACACACACACACACACACACACACACACACACACACACACACACACACACACACACACACACACACACACACACACACCGCTCTCCCAAAGCTACCTAGCTAGTCAATAAATACTTTATACTCTTTCCAATTCAAAAATCTTTCATATCAATCAGATTGTTAGTGTCAGAGTGATTAGCGTGCTTATTTAAGCAAGCAATCCAACAAAAAACATCAGCTTAAATTATATCGTATAGATCATAATATCAAAAAAAACTGTTTTTTCCTTAAGTTGACTGGTTGACTTAAAAATAAATAAATAAATAAAAAAGCCATACACAAATATTTTGTAAACTGTTATAAATTCTGTCATAAACAGCTTTAAAATAATATAAAATTTTATGATATTTATAAAATTTATATGAAATACAAATATTTTTATAAAATCACATGTTTACTAAGAATAAAAAATTAAGTTACCCATATGAAATCGTGTATTCATTGTTAACAACGCGTATATGTTTTATTTGACGGCCCTGTTGTTCTAACCGTTAGTGACCCTGACTGCTAAGCAAAGGTCGTGGGTTCGATTCCTACCCAGGACTAACATTGTGTGATGAGCACTATCATTTGTTCTGTGTCTGGGTATGATTTATGTATAATATGTATGTATTTCTAAAAATATAAGTATGTTTATGAGTAGTCTAGTTACCATAGCACAGGCTCTGCCTAGTTTGGGATCAAACGACCGTGTGTGAGATGTATAAGGTATATTATTATTATTTAATAGATCGCGTAATTAAGAAACCATGCGTCGCTTAAAAAAAGCCCTTTCACTTTTTACATTTGTATCTCTTTTCAGGCAAAGAGCAAGAAGAAATATGAAATTCGTAATAATTAAAGTTTTACAATTTGTATTTCAAAAGTGTGCTACGATTTGAAAATGTATGTGAAAACGGCTACAGTAAGCTACAGGGGTTAGTATAAATGTCGACCTTTTCATGGTACGGCTAGTCTATACAATCAAAGTTCAAGTCATACTTGACAAAGATCTAAAACAAAACATTCAAAGTTGTTAAAACAAGATTAGCATTCGTCTACCAGAAGTTTTATAGAATAAAATAAACACATAATTTACTTTGAATACTGAAGGTCCTCGAAGCCATAACTCTCCAGGTGTATTAGCTTTAGAAATAACATCTTCTTTTGTGTCTGGGTCCACAAGCTGAAAAAAAAGTTTTATGAATATAATATTCTAATACAATGGAATAAATGTATAGAAGTTAGCCTTCGAAGATTAGAAGTGACAGTGACAACTGGCAGAATCAATTGACGTATGATTGTCATCTACTATTATTAATGGTATTTATTTAGGTATGTATGTATTTATGTAAGTTTATATTTATTTAAGTATATGTATGTACATATGTACAATGGGTATGTGTTCTATATGATAGGTATGCGATAGGTTTATGTACGCGTATTTGATATTTATAACTACTAACAAACTATAACCAAAATGCACGTACTTTCTGTTCTCTCTGCATCACCCAGAGGTTGACTGGTAGAGAATGCATGATGTATAAATAAATAAATAAATAGGTACACGTTTATTGTAGTGCTTAATTTTTTTTTTCAAAAAAAACCTAATAGATGCTGCAGCTGTTTTCCAGAAACTAGTCCATGACATACATTACATGTACAAAAATCATATTTGCCTGAGATTTCAGTTTATCGAGATCTTAGAATGCTGTATTGAAGATATGGGGTCCAGGTTTTATGCCGACAAGAAATTTGGTTTTCACTTCAATTTACGGTATAAAAAGTATTCCAAATCAACCAAACAGCTTGTGCTAATAAGTCAGACCGGTTGAAGTGGTTATTCATAATCCTGGGTTAGAATAGGAACTCTCTAAGGTTACAAGGGAAACCATTCAAACAATAATTAATCTTCTTTACTGAACTGAACCATTTTGGTTTAGACCTCCGTCATCTCATCTATACCGATCTTGACCTACTTCCATCCTATTCTCTTCGAAGTCATACCTATTAATATTCTTTTCATGGGGTGAAAAGTAGTTCAGAAGAAGACACCAGGGAAATGAGAGAGAAGCCTCCTCACGATCCTCTTCACGATCGCTTTGCCCCATAATCTATGTTTACGGACTGTGTCCTGCCCGGTATTATTTTAAACGTGCCGTGCGTTAAAAATTAGTTACGTTTTTCTGAAGCTGAACATCAGAAACTTTACCATAGTTATACATTCTTCTATTGCAATTTTTCTCTCCAAGATCAGATTATTACCAAAGACAAATTGAATAATTATTCTTGGCTTTAAATATCTTCTATTAATGGGTTTTATTACTTACCCGATATTCTAAATGTCCTGCTGCATGGCCACATGAACCTTTGACTGCTGGAAAATTGTGTTGTAATGCTGGACCACTAATTTCACTCATTCCGTATACTGAATACACACGTTCAGTTTGAGCCAGTTCCTGTTGAGAGAAGGAAATAATATTTGCTAAATATTAATACATAGTTATTCCTTAGTGATTCCTAAGTGATTCCTTAGTGATTCCTAAGTGATTCCTTAGTGATTCCTTCCTGAGCTTGCTTGCTTGTTTGTCATACCTTTGCTAGTCACAAAATTCTAAAACCAAGATTGATAAAAGTAACTGGGAAACCTATAGTAAATAGACATGAAATAAGCGAAAAAAATAATTAGAAAAAGTACCTACTATGGAGAAGTAAGAATGATTTTTAAAGTCACATGCAAAAGTAACTATGTATGAAATATTGATTTTTAAATATTTATGTGAAGGCAACTATTCGATTCGTATATATTCTTAAAACTAATTGTTAAAATATCTTCAGTACCATCTAGCGAAGACCTATCGAACTACGTAACTACTGTTTGTGTATTTTTGACCCATTGAGTAACTTACTTCAGATTAACCTTATCAATCGAGCTAATTGTCCATGGATGACGGGTATGATTTCATCAGACAATAATATAAAAGTTCGGTCAATGTAACTCACAGTTGTTTTTTTTTTATTATGTATAGACATTTATAAGATCTAATAATAAACACGTCAACGAATCAACGAATAATGAGAATAATTATTATTAGTTATAATTTAATAATAACTGTTATTGTTAATGTTTTATCAGGCATTAATTTTTTTCACATAGTCAAGAATTTCTTCTATAATTCATAATTTAATTTAAAAGAACAAACAAGAAAATAAACGATTTATTATTATTTTTATTAATAAAATTTTATTCTGAGTGTACCAACTTTTTTTCAAATACCAGCTTTTAGGGCCTTTTATCTGTACCAGAATCTAACATCCCTGAAAAGATGACTTACATTCGCACTTATAATATTACGTTAGGAGAGACTGAATCATCATCAATCATCATCAACAGCCTTTAATAGTCCACTGCGGGACATAGGTCTCTCTTTAGAAAGGAGGTCTTAGCCTACTATACACCACTGGCCAGACGAATTGGTATAAGGTTTGTGTCAAGTTCTCCTTCTCTTTGCAGTGCTGTTGTCCTGCGTAGTTTGATCCCTTAGTCGGCTCTCACGACACCCACGGAATGAATAGGGGCAGTGACACTCCGTAGTCTCAATCCATCACCACACGATAAAGAGCCTGAATGATACTTACTTTTAATTTATCGACGAGATCAGGAGAAACTGGGAGGCCTCCTAGCAAAATACTCTTAAAGCATGTGAAGTCACATTTATCATTAGATGCCAACGCATTTTGAAACGTCAGAGGGCTCGTTATTATGTAGGCAGGCTAGAACAAATTTAACACTGGTGTAAATATCTGCGTATAATAATTTAGTACTGTCCGGTTCGGTTTTAAGATTATCACCGTATGATTAAGGTTTAATTGTTTTGTAACTTAAGAAACATCATACCGGTAGTCTGAATGTTTTGATCCAAGAATAAAAGTATTTTTTTTTTCATTATTTTTCACTGACCATACATCGATTGACTTTGATACCTACTCTATTTTTGACATACAATTTGACTTCGATTTATAGATTTTACTAAAAGTAAGCTATACTTGATGCAATAAGTAGAACTCTAAAAGGTTAAAAATTAAATACTTATAATTTTCTTTTCTCTTATCCAAATTTTTTTTTTAATTTGAAAAAAAAAAATGTTTATTGCCGAAACGCCAAACAAACAAATGCCACTTATTCTATTTTATAAATAAAAACATAAAATACAACAGTTACGGCGGAGGGGTTTTCCAGTTTAATATGCAACCGCTTGTGTTTGTACGCACTTAACCGCCACAAAATTTTAACCGCGGCGGTTAAATTGAGAGCTGTTGCCAGCTTCGTGGTCGCCGATGAGTTTGTACGTTTGATTGGGGCAGCCATGAACTTCATCTTCATTGTAAAATTCATCAACGAGAAGCTATTTGGAATTATTCAAACGACGAAACACTCATTCTAACATAGCCAAAAAGCTTATCTTCGTGCTTCTTCAGTTCTTGAAAACGACTAGCGAACTGCCCAAATTCGTTGGGTGTTTCTAGTAAATAATATTTCGGTAGTAAAATTAGGTAACACAAGCTACCGTCCGTACCGCTCGACGGCGTCCATTTCGTAAAACCGCGTCAAGCGGTTGAACCGTTTAGGTCCACTAAACGGTTCAACCGCTTGACGCGGTTTCATTGCGGCAACCGCGTCAGGCGGCTGGCCGCTCAAACGAACCGCCTAGGCAGCCAACCGCTAGTGCGTAACTGGCTTAAGACAAGATAAGTATCAGCTTAGTGCATTTCAAAATAAAAGAAAATAAGAACAATCTTCTATGAACGTTTGCTAGCGATATGAAAACTCTAATAATTACCGATTTTTCTTGTCTTTTGACCGATTTAAAAAATTCTTTCACCGATGGAAATGTACATTATCAGCAAGTAACATTGGCCACTTTTTACCGGTGATTTTCAATCCGGACTCACCTTATATTTATTAACTAGGTGCACAAACAGTTCAGGATTCATAATTTCCGATGATTGAAGTCGTGTTACCTTCAAGATTGGACTGAACAATTTCACAAACGTAGCTGTCAACCATTGAATAGGCGACACGGATAAAATTATATTTGTCGGAGTGGGGAATTTAGATCCCAGTGATAACCTAAAACGGGAATAACATGATTACTTCATGAATTATACTCATTTGTAAAGTATAATAAAATATAAAATAAATAAAAGCATTGAGATCCTAAGGTTAAGTGCAAGGTTTACTGAGTGTGGACACCAGGCACCAGTTTTCTGTGAGGCCGTAGTATCAATTTACAGAAAAAACGGCGTGAGGGGTCTATAGACCCCCGATCGGAACGAAGTTCCTTTCGCTTTTTAGTAGACGTTTGCTTAAATAAGAAGCAAACTTTTCATTTTATTTCGACTTAAAAGATTGCGTTATAAACTCTTTATTTAATTAATTGAAACCAAAAAGAGGTATATCGCTGTTAATGATAAAATTGAATATTCATTCCAATTAAATATTTTAGAAATATAAAGATTAAACAGAAGCAGCTTACTTAATTTTTAGTGGTTTAATTCCATTAATATTTCATTTCTTTGTTAATATAGTTTAATTTAAATCTTTACATTTTCATTGTAAAAATAAAATGAATATTTTTTTATAAATATTTAAAGATAAATTTATCTCCAAAAATAACTCATTATGACGTCATACGTGCTATGAAATCAAAATAGCCGGTTACTATTTTCATTAATAATGTAGCAGATTGTTTAGACTTTGAGAAAATATTATTAATTGATTCGGTTATGAAGATAGAGTATTGCCTCATAAAGTGATACTACATAATACTAAGAATCATTATCAGCCTATCGCAGTCCACTGCTGGACATAGGCCTCTCCCATTGCACGCCACTTTGAATAATAAGTATATTTTATACCACATGTAAGACAACCCAATGAACAGGTTCTTGTGAGTTAAAATTGCAGCCTTAGGTAAACCGGTGGTCCCACTCGTTGATGTCAGCAATGCTGGAGTCTCTTCGGGGTCGAAATCTGAGGGTCTGAAAGTAATACATTGTAATTTTGTATTTTTATTATCTGAAACCAGCAATTTTAATTGGCTTAAGGAAAATGTTACTGTTTTGACAATAAAAGGCTATTGGTTTTTTTATATTAATTATTTAAAACCAATCTGTGGCGACTTTCATATGTAATGAAAACCAAAACATACTACAGCGCCATCTAACGGAGACTCGCCGAACTACAGAGGAACAGCTAGTTATGTATCGCGATATGAATAATTCTCAAGGCGATTAGTATATTATACATCTTTTTATTTATCTGTAAGTTGAGGTTATTTATAACAACAGAAAACAGAGACAGTAAAGAAAGAAATAGTTTAAAAATCACGTGAATCAAACATCAAGAATTAGCTTTTAGTTATAAGTTGTTGGTGGCAAACTACGTTTGCATATACAAGTCGGCTTTTTCTTGTTTTAATTAATTCTATTGGATCAGGAAATTGTCCAGAATAAATTAAGATATCAGAGCATGTTTTGAGGCATGAACTTGAAATTAATAAACTAAAACGTAAATAATAGTGACATATAAAGGGAAAACTTATTATCAAGGACTATCGGATATACTACCAAAGGGCCGTCATCAAATACATCATTTTAGCACCTACCATGATCATTTCTCTATCACCCCGAGAATGCCGTGGGCATTAAGTCTGCTATAATGCTACTAGCTACTGCTACTAGCGCCATATGTTTGAGAGACACTAAGCTTACCAAATAACTTACCGGAACTCCTTAACTGCATTGTCATCAATATTCATGATACATTTCGATAGGGTCATAAATTCATTGCCCTCACTAAAGACTGCTATTTTGGCTTCTAATTCAGCACATTTTAAAGCTTTTTCAATAACATCAGTTTTGTTGCCCTCACAGAATATTATTTTTGGCTTTGTGATGGTAAAAGCGTCCCTTAATTCATCTTTAAAACAAACAGATATAACATAAGGTAGTGTGGACATGTTTTTAAAAATGAATATTTTTACCTTGAATAGGTATACATGAAAATTAGAAGTAAATATATTCAGAAGAGCGCTCATTTAATGTTTTCAGTGATCCTCGTTAAAATATGTAAAATATTTATCTAATATATAGACAAGTTCACATAGACTAGGTACCTACATAATAGAGAGACACAGTGTTTTGTAATTGAAATTGAATTGGACACTATTCTTAAATAGTTCCCATTAGTTACAAATATATCAGAATCATGCCAGTAAGCTTACTTAGGCACATTGAATGTCTAAGTGAGTTTGTATACAGATATAAATATGTCTTCAATATCTTTAAAATCTATAATCACATTTTGACCTGATACAATGGTTTCTCTTCGTAGTTGCCGCCCCACGGTTTAATTTAAATATGCCATACTTCGCAGATTTCAAAATTTTAAATTAATACCAGCTGTATCACGCCATGCTTCAGTGTGGCAAATGAGAAACAATAAAAACAATCATTGAAGCGATCATACATTGTTTTAAAATTTGAACTCAATCAGTGCAGAACTTTCTTAGTTTTTCTTCCTCAAACCAACTTAACTTTTATATATATACGTATAAGATTAACCCTGAAACCAGTCCGAGTGGTGACGGATTAAGAATACGGAATGTCGCCACCCCTACTTATCCCGTGGGTGTCGTAGGAGCCGAATAAGGGAGCAAACTACGCAGGAGTGCTCTGGGCACAGCGAAGAGAAGGAAAACTTGACACAAACCCTATACCAACCCGTCAGGCCAGCGTGGTATAGTAGGCTAAAACCTCCTTTCTAAAGAGAGGCCTATGTCCAGCAGTGGACTACCGAACGCTGTTGATGATGATGAATTTGAAACCAGAGTTACTTACTGACGCCAAACGTTGGATCTATTGCTGCAACCACGACTCCAAGGTACAATGCAGCATAATACGGGATACAGAGATCTATGTGATTGAGTCCTGTCAAAATTATTACATCTCCCTTTTCAAGGCCTAGTTTCTTGAACGCAATCGCACATCGAACGGACCTGTCCAGTACTGAACCAGCCGTTTCTGTTATGTCTTTTGCTCCATCAATCTGGTGAGATATACATTTGTATTGAATGCTTTGAGAAGAACACGAATAATCTCGTAACATAAGTTTCGGATTGTCCAATTTTATTACCTATAATTCTATCAAAAGTCTATACTGTATACATTTCCTTAGCATAACACAGGATGTGAAAATAATAATCTAACTTAAAATCCGATTAGGATATAACGATGGTTAACGGATTATTGTCTACTAGTATTTAAAAATATACGATAAGTAAGTAAGTAATTAGTAATATGCGTATTAGTAATCATAAAATTACATTTAAAATATTCTATAAACTAAAGTGGTTCGATAGATTCTATTCGATTGCATTAGAAAAATACAAGTACCTGCAAAATAAAATCTGGATCATCTTGAAAGCAATGCAGTAGGATTTTGCCGAGATGATATCTGTCTGTTGGTATTCCAGTCTTAGCAACCAAATGTGAACTCACATCACTTAAATACATATGTATTGCATCGTAACCCGTTTCATATGGCATTTTGTAATTCCTGATAGAAAAGATAATATTTATAAATGTTCAAATTGAGAACCTACTTATTTCGGTTCTCCAGGGCAACTGAGAAGGTTATAGTACCGAGTCACGGCAAGAACTGCGGGACAGTCGTGTATATGATATATTTATATTTAATAAGACTGTACGCTGCAGATGACCTCCAAGATCTTGTAATAACACACTCATAATATTCATGAACATTGCATCGTAACGTATTTTATACCCATTCAGAAAAAAATGAGGTAAAAATGGTTCCCTGAGGCTTCCTTTCTAGAGTGTACAACGAGACACTGCAATGGACCTAATTATGACGAACCGTCGGTACGGTAGATCACTTAACTTTACTTAATGATGTATAATTTAATGAACCTTGGAGGAATTTAAATAATAAAAATAATTAACAGTACTTAAGATTACGTAATTTGGCACGTGTAATATTTTGGAAAACCATTTTGATATTCTGTAATATCTTCTGATAAATTTGCTAAAGGTTGATAAATAGTATTGCTGTATACGGATTAAAGTTTACCAGTATCTGTAAATTATATAATGTCGTACGCATGTCATAAATTATATTAAAATGCTTCCTACTGATATAATATTAATACTTATTTTTATACTTCGTCTGTGTGGTGACGGATTAAGAATACAGAGTGTCACCGCCCCTATTCATCCCAAGGGCGTCGTAAGAGCCGACTAAGGGAACAAACTCTGCAAGACAACAGCACTGCAAAGAGAAGAAGAACTTGAAACAAACCCTTTTTTTTTTTTTTTTTTTTTTTTTTTTACGTGTGGAAATCCCCTCGGACCGTCACCCCGCCGGGGCTCTCGTTCGGCGGGGCGGTGTGTCGGACTCGAACCGACCAAAACCACACGGTGTGCCCTCTTTGCGCTTCCAGTTTAGGAGGGGTCCAGGTAGCTATCTCCTTCTGGACCCCTCCCAGCGCCGGCCCGCTCCTGGCGCGGGCTCCGTCTCAGTGGACCCTCTCTTAAGGCGGCGTCCGGCACACGCGGGCGCCGCCCCCTCGCGGCTGGCCAACTAATGCGGGTGGAGGGGAGAACCCATCCCGTCCACCCGCGGCCACACTCAGGGCGGCATGAGGCGCAGGTGAGCGCGCCTCCGCCGCCCGGTTCGCCGGCGGCGGATCAGGTCCGAGTGGAGGTCGTCCTCCCGGGCCTTCTCCGCCGCCTCCTTCTGCGAGATTACCTCCTCGCAGAAGGTTGCGACCGCGGTAAAACAACTGTCGCTACCGGCCATGGAGCGAATTACGGCCGGTAGCGAGGGATCTGCTCCGATGACTGCAGTGAGGGCCCGGCGCTGCGCCGCCCATGCGGGGCAAACCGCCAGCGTGTGCTGGGCCGAATCCTCACTGCAGTGGCAGTGGTGGCAGGCGGGACTCGATTCCATCCTAGCGACCGAGTACAGGTACTTTCCGAAGCAACCGTGCCCGGAAAGCACCTGCGTCAGCCGGAAGGAAAGGGTCCCGTGCTGCCGCCCCGCCCACTCGGCGATGACCGGCTGGAGAGCCTCCACGGCGGCGAAGCCAGCGCGTGGAGTCTCCAGCCGGAACGACCATCTCACCATGGTGGCTCGGCGAGCGGCTTCGCGCCACTCGCGCACGTCTTCGGGCGGAGGGCGAAATCCGCTCTCCGCCCGGAAGTCAGCCACTCGCCGATAAACTTCGGCGAGCACTTCCGCCTCCAAATCCCACGGGGGTGTTCCGGCCAAGGCGCAAGCCGCCTCGGTGGACACCGTGCGGTATCCGCGTATGGCTCTGACCGCCAATATCCTCTGGGGGCGCCAGAGGCGCGCCCTATTCGGGGCGGTCAGAGCCGCCACCCACACCGGTGCACCATAAAGCGCCATGGACCGGACAACCCCCGCGTACAGCCGCCTCGTGGGAACACTGGCCCCGCCCAAATTGGGCAAAAGTCGCCCTAGGGCGGAGGCAGTGTCCACCAGCTTCGGACCAAGCTGTCGGAAGTGCTCGTCGAAGAGCCACCTACCGTCTAGGACCAGACCCAGGTACCTCATCTGGGCCCGGACCGGTACGAGGACCGAGCCGACCTCGATTGAGGCGCCGGCGGGCGGACCACGACGGGGCCCATGAAATAATAGGGCCTCCGTCTTATCCAGGGCCACCCGTAATCCCAACGCCTCAATGCGCCCGACCACCTGGGAAACTCCAGTGGCGGCCAGGCGCGCCGCCTCCTGGAAGTTAGCCCCCCGGGCCGTGACTAAAGTGTCATCGGCGTAGCAGAGTACACCCAGCCCGGGGGGGAGACGCCCTCGTAGGGCCCAGTCGTATCCGATGTTCCACAGGAGTGGTCCTAGGACAGACCCCTGCGGAACACCGCACGACATGGCCCTGCGTCTCAAGACGCCATCTCGGTCCTCGTACATGACGGTTCGCTCCTCAAGATAGTCTGCCACCAGCCGCAACTTGAAACAAACCCTATATCAACCCGTCTGTCTAGCTTGGAATAGTAGGCCAAAACCTCCTTTCTAAGGAGAGGCCTATGTTCAACATGTGTTGATGATGATGATTTTTATACTTTTTTATGCTATAGGGTGGCAAACAAGCTAGTGATTCACCCGATGATAAGTGACTACTGCAGGCCATGGACAGCTGCAAGTCTGCAATTCGAGAGTCACAAATTTCAAATATAGCTCACTTCATAATTTAATACTTTATAATATTTTATTACCCTGTTTAAAAGGGTGCATGCCTATTTTACTTCATTTTGTCCCTCGCTTTGCTAAGGGGGAAGTGTGTTATTCCTGGGAGTTATTATTATTATGTTTTACATAGACAAATTAGATTAATCCTAATTCGGTTAATATTAGCATTGATTTCGATAGTATTACTAAAATCACTATCAACCCACATCGACAACCCAAACCCTGAGGGAGGGAAGGTTGAAAGACGGCAACGGACTAGTGAATCATGTGTTGCAAGTGTCCTTGGGCGACGGTAGTCACTTACCATCAGGTAACCCACCTGCTCGTTTGCCCCCTCCCCTCTCATACCATACTCCTCTACCTCGTTTACCGAAAAGTATAATATTGCCAGCATGTATGAAAAATAAATAAATGAATAAACTTTTTAGACTATTACTGTAATAACAAGTCATATTTTTTATCTGATGTACCTACTAATAGTATATTAGTACGACCTTACAATTTAAAACCTTATCATTTAAATCCAGGAATCAATAGTTTGAAGATTTAATGATAACTACAAAACTGTCGCGAATATTATTACCTAATGATAAAAAAATGTTGAATAACATTGTATTCAAACATATTCAAAGAAACAATTTTTAATTCTAACTGGAAATGAACTTTAGCATAACATATAAACAGCCTGTGACCAATACAGCAAAGATACAATACAATACAAAGATGCAATACAGCCTTAATAGTCCGCCTGTGACCTTGGTGAATAAAACCTGATTGAAACATTTAAAAAGTATGTAATTAACAATATGTAATTATTGTAGAAGTCTCGAAGAGTCTCACTAACAAAAAACTGTGTCACTTATAGTAGGCCAGCTTGCTGTACGTACAGGCCGGTACGCACACTTACACACATTAGTCGGCCATTATGCTCGCAAACATCAAGACAGCGAGACATAATATGTCTAATATGTTACATAGTATGTGTAATATGAGACATAATTTATGTATGTATATGTTATATACATACATATCCTCGTATATATAGCCAATTTATGTTACATATACCATTTATATGCTACTCAGTTCCAATATTATAACAGTTTTAAAAACATCTAACAGCACTATGTAACTAGGTTACTTGCAAACAAAACAAAGTTAATGTGTATGTTACTTTGTTATCTACTCGGAATACAATAATAAAAATAGTTTACGGGCCAGTTATTTTAACACCGTTTTTTTAACACCTTCCCACTACAAGGTTTATTATTTTTGTATCATGTAGTTGTTGCAAAATTTGTAACTACTTACTGCTAAATGCATGTCGGTGATAATGACGCCCAGAAAAACTCGAGTGAGTTTATGTTGCATCATGAAGCTTTTGTAATGAATAAATAAAAATGTAATACTTCTTACATGGTCGCGTTACTTTTGACGATTACATTAAGGATCTTTGGCACCGAAAAACTAGTATAATAAAATGACGATAAACTATTTTTAGACTGCTATTTAGGAGAAAATCGTCTTTGGTTTGATAAATACATTTTCTTGATCTTAGAATTTACTCTTGAGGTAAGCAAGATATTCCTTCGATTAGCTCCAAACCAACAGAAGCAGAACTGGTGCCAAGCATAGGTTCAGTGTGTAGTGTGCTGTTCGTGACATACTGTATATATTTTATAAACAACAAATTTTAATACAAATAAAAACTCAACAGTAATAACAAACGGAATCAATGCACTGGAGTGTAATCGGAAGTCAATGGGCCGCGGACGCAGCGGGAGAGGCGAGGGTCGACTAATCTACCGATGGCACCATCGAAACGACCGTTCCCGCCGTCGCGCCCCACACCGCAAAACCAAAGAGACCTTAAATACCTTTCTGCGCATTCAAGGACATTGATCAAGATGTTTGCCGGTAACTATAATATTTTATTATTATTTTTCTCATTATTTATATTAATATCACATGTCAATGATCTTTTATTACATTATAAAAAATACATTTTAAAAATAGGTGGTTTGAGCTTTAAAGACGAACAGACATCTCACTCTACGGGTCTAGTTGAGGAGAACGGCATTCTCCATTCGCTGAATTTCCTTGATTCTGTCATGACATATTAAGCCCGACGATAAGTTATAACCAGCTGGTCATAACTTTTCAATGGCAAGACAATCACAAAATGCCTGTTTAAACTGGCACAAATACCCTCACCATGTGCATTCCAATCGGGTCAGATAGAAGCAAGTTAATGATTTTCTAATAATGGCAATAATTTTGTCCGTGTGGTGACGGATTAAGAATA